TCATCCCTTCTCAGGTACATAGCCCTGACCTAGTGCAGATTTGACCCTCTCGCCCTTGTTCCTTATCTGGAGCTTCCGACAATTCCTCAGTTGTCATCACGCTTTAATGTCTTGTCAGTGATAGGCCCTCATAGTGTCCATGAAAGAAGGCCCACTCAGAGTTCGCGTCCCCACTTCTCCTAACGTCTCAGCCCTGACACTCGCAGCGTGAATCTGGCATCACCGTCCTTCGACGTCGTCCACAATCCCGTCAAGTAAAACAACTAGATCTGGTTTTCGCCAAGTGTTATCTTCAAGTAAAGGGCGGCGTAAGGCTTGAGTCGCGCGACACCGGGTCCCCCTTTATTCATCGCACCTACAACCCTAACCCCTCAAAGCAGAGACCTAAGGTAACCAACACACTTAATATATCCCTCCACATCCCAGCTATCTTCACATAAGTATGGTATGCCCGGCCTGATCAGATTTCAACCCTCAGCCTCATCCATACAGTCCGAGCTCAAACCCGCTGAGTTACTATGACAACTAGTTTGTTCATATGATATGCTCGATTGGGGGACAAATGTGCAATCATCGGAACAACCCATGAACCAAGAACATCAAGCAAACTTGAACCTCTCATAGTCTAGACCCAACAAACAACAAACATGGACTAAACCCCTTGGGCGGTACAAGAAATGCCTCTAGTCCTTATTATGCACCTACCCAAAGGGGATGTGTGAACAATCGTAAGTCAGTTAACGGCCGCTAGTGTCCATGTGCAAGGTTGCAGACTTTTGAACTCGAAACCTTGTACCGCAATGCACATTTCCAACCAGTGCTCTACCCACCGTGATTGAGCTAAAGAAAATAAAATGAAGACATTGAAGAGTAAATTTATCCTCTGAATGTGCATACTTCTTACCAGTCAGTGCAAAGAAAGTAGCTATTAAAAATAATTAGTAGATACCCGCCACAAACGCGCCAAGGTTTGTGAGAGACCCTCCTCCCACCAACTGCTTCCCACCTCCCCCCACTCCTCCAGAACGAATCTTCCACGGCCAGATTTTTTTGTCTTCATGTTGGTCGTCCTCCTCGTCCTCCTCGTTCCCCTCCTTCCACTCGTCATCCTGGCCGTCCTCCCCTGATTGCTCCTCCCGTCAAAAATGAAACGAATCTTTCGTTGGAACACGGAGAGGTACACGATCATATTTTTTTGTCTTCCCGTTCGTTGTCGTTCGATGGAAAGAGAGACGACCATATTAGTTTGTCATGTCGTTCGTCGTCCTCCTCCTTCCCCTCCTCCCACTCATCATCTCACCTCTCCTCCTTCAGGTCATTTGCTTTGTGCAAAATGTAATGAATCTTCCTCTGGAACATGGGGAGATACACGGTTTGTCTATTTATGATTTTTTTCACGTTTGTGGATGGAACTCCAACCACATTCGTTGTGGACACATCCAGATTCAAGCTCTACACGACTATGGGTCTCGCCACACTACTCACCAAATGTGAAAAATAAAAAACATAGTGTGTGTACCTTCTCATGTTCTAGCAAAAAAATCATTCTCATTTTACACATTTGGTGAGTGGCGCGGCGAGGCCCTTTGCCCGAAGTCATTGGTTCAATAGTGATTTTTTTCTTAAAGACCTCTTCACGTATGTGGACGAAATTGTGGCGACACTCAATAAGATCATGCCAGATAAAATAAAAGGACACTCTACGAACTGCAAGCAATACCACAGGCAAAACAACAAAAAATAAAAGGTAACTTCCCGAATTACGTGTGCTGCCACCAACAAAACAACAAAAAAGAAAAGACAATCCGACAGCCAACCGCTTCTATGTACTTCAAGTTGTATGCGAACATGAGGTGTCGATATTCGAAAGCCGGAAAAAAAATCAAATCGTGGGAATGTCCCTGCGCCGACCTACGGTCCCACAACAACTCGAGTTTTGCGTGAGTCTGTTAGGCCTGATCCAGGGTTGTTTCTGTAAAGGATTATGGATAAAACAAAAATATCAACAATTTAGGCATCTAATTTTGGTCGGAGATTGAAATGCAATCATAGAGCCTTCGATTGATAAAATCATTCATGCAAATGACGGAGTAGACGAAACAAAAGCCCACTCGATGCTAGAGTTCGTCGCAGAAAAATGCCTTGAGGACCTATACAGAAAACCCTGCACCCGCATGACAAAAGAAGGCAAGGGGGGACTTTTTTCAGTCCCTGCAATCAGGTGGTCGTGGTCGCATCCTGATCGGCGCAGTTGTACCCAACAGGCTTGGAGCTAGGGCAATTTTCGAATGGTGGCTACATCTGGTTTCAGTCAAGTGGTAAAATGACCCAGGTGCGGGCCACAGCCGGGTGAGAATTTTGCTCGGGTCACTCGAAATATGACCCTATATATGTAGCTCAATTGAATATTATTTTATTATTATTATTATTATCGTTGATTAATATATTGTTTTAGTAATAATTGTTAAAATCATTCCAATATTACAAAATATTAAAATGATAATAAAAAGGAATGAACTGGGTTTCTAACACGTATAACCATAACAGCGGAACTAAAATTATGCTTGGAAAAGAAAAATATATAATTGTAGTGGCCAATCTTTCTTTAGCTAGCAAGCCTATGGCCTTTGTTTTTCCCCCCTGAGTATATTAGATTGTTTTGGCTTTGAAACATTAATCATAAAAAACTATGTAAAACAAAGGAGAACTCATAGTGACTTTTAGTCTAAGTTTTTATTCTTACAATATTAAAAGCAGTAATAAATTGATGAACTATAAATTGCAATAAATGCCAATAATAATAAGAGTATTATTATTATTATTATTATTATTATCTAATAAATTATTATTCATGATTATTTTATTTATTTTTAATAGCCGAATGCAATGTCTATTCTATAGTTTATATCTTACAGATGTCAATAAAACATAAAATGTAACAACTTAGAAATGAACATGACTCACAAATGTCACTCTGCTTGTTGCGAGAGGTGAATGAGAAATATGATGAAGTTATTTTAATAGTATTGTTCAGACCCTGGCCAATTTCGAGATACACATCCACTGGAAAGTACAATGCTATCCAATTGCAGAAAGAAATGAATGAACTTGAGAGGTGAGAGAGGAGTAGAAGAAGAAGAAGAAGTAAGAAAGATGAAGAAGAAGATGTACACCAGCAAAGACAATGATAAGGCTCTTCTTCTTCGCCCAACAATCTCCTCCTCCTTATCTCCCCCTTCTCTTATTCATACAAGAAATAATAATACAATGTTGAATGACTGGTCCAGAATCATGTCCGAGTCCCTTTTCTACTGCAGGTATCACTCAAGGTCCACCATAGCCATGGCTGCCTCCCCCACTCTTCACACACATAGGTCGAGGCTATGGCGGACTACTAGGCCTTGCACCGACGTCCAAAGGACAACCCAGAGCAGCTATGGCTGCTCCAGCTCAGACCGCCATGCCCAGCCTTGCCTTGAAGCTTCTTGGTGTAGCTCCCCGGCTGGGGACTCCTTGCAGCAGCGCCCACCAAGGTGATGAAGATGGCTGCCACCATATAGCCAGGTAAGTACCCCTGGCGCTCCTCCCCCTTCCTCCTTCCTTCCTCATTCTTCCTCCCTCTAGTCCTTCTTCTTCCTCCCCAGTAGAGCAGCTCCAACCCAGCGCTGCTCCCTCCAGCGCTCCACCAGTGTGTCGCCAAACTTGCACACCGAAAAAGAGGCCGGGTCTTCCGCCCGGTCGGAAGATATAGCGGTCTGCTTTGCCTCTTGGGCGGTGACTTCCAGGCTGCTGGCCTTCCCAAGCAACCGGTACCTCTTCCTCCTTTTGGAGGGAACATCATTGCAGACTCTGATATTGCCCCTACAGGCCCTAGACTCAGACTGGTACCCGCTAGACCTAGCCTACACTACCGGCCTCTAAAAATGTCACTTTTGTCTTCTTCTGCTCGGCCTCCAGTACCTGCATATTTACCCCCCTGCCGGGTGCGGTACCGGCCTACTCGCTACTTGAGTGATTTTTCCCTGGTGCAACCCTTAGAAGCAACGGCCACAGGTAAGTATCGGCCCTGAGGGCCCGACGAACGAACAAGTGCCCTGGCGGGCCACACACACACACACTCATACCAACTAGCACTCAGACATGCATGGTCACACACGCAAGCCAACCAGCACTCAGACAGACATGCAGTCCAGCAAGCACACACACACATAGACTTAGCAGGCGAAAAACTCAGTAGGGCATTCAGTCTATGAGCAAAACTCAGAAATCAACTGTGTGTTTCAGTCCGTGTTTGGACGGGTTATCACACTACCCCCCCCTCGAGAGCGAGGTCCCTTCGAGCGAGTAACTAATTCTGATTCCTCAGTAAACGCATCGTAGGCGAGCAAGGCAAAAAGATTCCTGGAATACTCTGTTGCAGAGAGCCTTGCTGAGATCTTTGGTGTAGTGTTAGCGGCGATCTGTCGCTCGTAAGCTTTAACAACGCGCGGTGCGCTACGTAGCAGTTCCTGTTTGGAGATCCAGTAAAGATCATCTAACGGGTGATACATGAAATGCACCTGGTACTGTCTGTTTCTCCCTTTACCTACATGCTGTTTGATTCGATCTATCTCATGCCCGCCCTTAATTGCGCGAGGGATCATATCTTCGCGGTAATCGAATGTCTCGGCGTCACAATGGAGGTTCAGTTTAGATGCGTGAAACACGAGATACGTGCACAGGTGAGCTGGCACGTCGACAACATACGAAGGGCCAAAGTGATCTTCCCCAATTACATCCAAAACTTCCCGAGGCCCGTAGTAGAGTGGGAGGAGTTTGCATGAGACTCCCTCCTTCTTTGAGAATTTAGACATCTTTACCCAGACATAACCTCCTACCTGAATCTCCGATGGTTTGCGCTTCTTGTTCGCATGGCGAATCATGACATATTGTCGCTTGGTCATGGCTGCAACAACAACTTTGAGCAAGCGATCATACTTAGCCCTGAAGCCGGGCCTGCTGAATGTTAAACCAGCTGGCTGTTCAAGGAATAAGTAGGAGAGCGGATTACTGATCTGTCACCCGTAATGCAGCCTGTTAGGTGTCGTGGCGGTGGCAGAATGGACGGAGTTGTTGTACAACCCCTTGACAGAATACAACTCCTCATCCCATGTTTCCTGATCAGGAATGATCAACGCACGGAGTAGTTGGAATACAGTCTGGTTGATCTCCTCAGCCAAACCGTTGGCTTCGGGGTGTCGGCCAGATATCATGCATAGTTTGATTCCAAGGTGGGACGTGAACTCCTTCCATTCAATGCTAATGAAACGTGGGTCCCGATCGCTCACAAGAGTCTTCAGGGTTCCGAATTGCAACAGGTACTTCTGCTGGAATTCGCGAATCCCTAGATCTGTTGGGGCGTGAGGTGGTAAAGGAATTAGATTGAGAAACTTTGAAAACCGGTCAACAATCACCATGACTTGTGAAAACCCGTTCTTGCTTACCTTACCCATGTCAGTGAAATCGATGGAGACGGATTCCCCGGGACCATCAGGAATGGGTAGGGGTGTGAGTAGCCCGATGGGCTTTTGTCCGCATGGTTTGATTCGTTGACAGACTTGACATTCAACTATAAATTTCTCAGCAGTCTCTTTCATACCAGGCCAATCAAACTGTGTCAGCAAATTAGCGTACGTTTTAGCCATGCCGAAGTGCTCGCTCCGGCCATGAGCCAAGTCCCAAAAGTGTGTGCGGAGAGGCTCATGGTTGGGTACACACAAACGGTCATGGTTCCCGTAACGACGAAAAATCAGTCCTCCATACTCGTGGAAATCAGACTGACTACTAGAATCAGCCCGCAACTGCTCAAGGATGGAACTAAGTTCCGGATCCTTGACTGTCTGCTCTACGAGTTCCTCCTTCAGTTTCTTCCGGAGGTCATAGGATTTCACAAGGCAAGTCATGTACTCAGGGTGGCGTGACAATGCGTCAGCGACTCGATTGTAACAACCCTTTTTGTGTCTGAGTTCAAAGTCGAAGATGTTAATCTCATGAAACCAGCGAAGCAAGGTAGGGGACAAAGTAGTCTGCATTTTGATCCACTTCAAGGGCTCATGATCAGAGAACACTTTGAAGTGGCGTCCCAACAGGTAATACTTCCAGTGATCCAATGCCATGTGCAAAGCGTAGAGCTCGCGCATGTAGGTGGAAGTGGCTACCTTTACGCTGGACATTCGTTTGATGTAGTACTCGAGTGGCCGCAGGCCGTCGCCATCATCTTGTTGCAGCACCGCACCGATCCCATATTGACTTGCATCCGTAGTAACTACGAAGGTCGGTTTGGGGTCTGCAATGCGGAGTACCGGATAACTTACCAAGGCTTCCTTGAGAGTTCGAAATGCTTCCGTACACGCGGCATCCCAGGAATAAGACACATTCTTGYTGGTTAGTCGCGACAATGGATGAGCAATGATAGAAAAACGGGGTACAAACTTCCGATAGTACGACGCGAGACCAAAAAAAGAACGCAATTCACGAATGTTCACAGGCTGAGGCCAATCGCGTATGACCTCAATCTTGGTTGCCTCAGGCTCTAGGCGTGCAGCAGACAACCGGTGCCCAAGATAGATGACGCTATCCCTCCCAAACTCGGATTTCTCCAAGTTGAGAAGGAGCTGCGTCTTCTTGAGGACAACAAGTACCTCCTCAAGATGCTTGAGGTGTTCCTCCATGGACTTACTGAAAATCAGGATATCGTTCAGGTACACGACTACAAACCTGCCAATCTGTTCGCGGAGGACCTTGTCCATGAGGCTTTGGAAAGTGACTGGTGCGTTCGTGAGACCGAAGGACATTATGGTAAACTCATAAAGCCCGTCGCGAGTTTTGAATGCAGTCTTGTGCTGGTCCGCAGGATCGACTTCAATCTGGTGGTAACCAGACTTGAGATCGATCTTGGAGAAAACCTTGCACCTGTATGCGGCATCAAGCAAGTCATCTATACGAGGCAATGGGTAAGCATTCTTTCTTGTGATGCGGTTTAGACCGCGATAGTCAATACACATGCGGAGTTTGCAGCATCAAGCAAGTCATCTATACGAGGCAATGGGTAAGCATTCTTTCTTGTGATGCGGTTTAGACCGCGATAGTCAATACACATGCGGAGTTTGCCTCCTTTCTTTGGCACAAACAAAACAGGAACACCAAATTCAGATTCACTTGGTTTGATCCACCCTTTGTCAATCATCTCATTGATCTGTCGTCGGAGTTCCTCCAACTCGCCGGGTCCCATACGGTACACGCAGCCCTTTGGAGGAACAACACCCTCGACCAACTCGATGGTGTGTCGGACCGGTCGCGTGGGGACTCCACGTGGCTCGGGCAAGACTTCTGGAAACCGATCGAGGAGGGTTGGGATGTCTGATGGGACAGGTGGGGGTGGGGAATCAACAAAGGGATCACCAAAGTCCGGTCGCAAGTCGCGTATAGAGACGACCGAATATGAAGTTGGATCATTTGGATTATCGGAGGGTAGAGAGGTAGAGGTGCTAGTAGTAGAAGTGCTAGAAGTAAGATCATTACTCAAGGTGGTGGTGGTACTAGCCGCAAAAGTAGAAGGCACATGAGCAAGACGAACAAAGGCAACATACAATTGTTCTTCCTCTTTGTGCTTGCGCCATTTCTTGCAGAATTTCAATGCATTTAGAAAAGTCACTGGGGACTCGTGCTTCTCATCCAAGAGGACAGGAATCTCGTTCCCCTGAGCATCTTTGACCATGAAAAGTGATTCCTTCCACTTGGTCCATTCGCATTGGGACTGCAGCCAGCCCAAGCTAAGGACAGCGTCGAAGGGGCACTTGTCAAGGACAAAGAAGTTCAGTGCATGGGTGACAGTCTTACCTTTGTCAAAGGTAGTACGCACACCTTTGACTGCATGTGTAGAAGAGACAACCTCTTTGTTGCCAACTTGGGTCCAGCAAGGGTTCTGTAGGGCCACTTGCTTCATCCCCAAGCCCACCTTGCGTATCCCATGTGGTGACATGAAATTAGCTGTAGCACCACAATCAACGAACACACGGAGATAGCGGTGGTTGATGAGAAGTTTAAAGAAGATTAACTTCACTGTCCCTTGGGCCCGCAACTGTTTTATTTCAGCCCAATGCTCCAAGTGGTAGTGGAAGTCAATCATCTCAGACTCCTCCCAAGGCTCGTTATACAATACGTTACTTACCGCAGCCTTGTCTTCAGCAGATGGTTGGGCTTCAAGGGAGGGTTGTTGATCTTCAACAGAACCAGCCTCCCTTGCTGCAGAGTTTGCTGAGTCTGACTCTACGCCCGATTCTGGTTTCCCTACAGCCGATAACAGTCTTGGACTTTATGATTTGGCTTTTGGCAATGCAGGCAAACCCCCTTCTTGAGTCTGCCCCGCCAGTCATTCTCAGTGATCCAGAGGTCAACCCACGGTTTGGTAGATGCATCCTCCGGTTTAGGTGGGATCTTAACTCCTTTGGGAAGTTGGACATAACTCTTTCCGACACTCCAATTCGGTCCCTTAGTACTGACAGTCTTTTTAAAGGCAGAAAATTTTTCCTCTTCTTTATTTGCATCGGACTCATGGGCTGAAGAACAAGCTGTATCGGAGTCATGTTCTTGGTCGTCACCAAGAGTGGGATCACCCGCATCGGCTTCTTCTTCGGCCTCCAGCAGGTCATGCACAACAAAATGGTTGCTGCCCTTGAACCGTCTGCCGCCCATGGGCTTTTTGCTGCCTGCCGTGCTAACGAGGTCCATGGCCTCCAGACTGACTACATCCTTCATTAAGGCAAACCAGTCAGTATAAGCAGTGTAGTCCCTGCCCAGGCGACTAGTGAAGTTAGTTGGAACCGCGCCCTTTACCACATCTAAGCAAGATTGAGTGGACAATTCCAAACCAGGAGTGGCAAACAACTTGCTTAGGTAGGTCTGCAGGCTTTTCATGGAGCCATTCCACTTGTTGTGCTTTACTTTATCCAGTTGAATCCTTGCTTTAGCAGCAACATGTGGATCTTGGTATTCTGAGATAAGAAGTTCTTCGAGGGAGGCAACCAGGGTGGACCTTAGCCATTTGGCTAGTGCAGATTTTTAAAACCCAGCCCGTGTTGCTTGGACTTTTAGGAAGCCCCGTACGACTGGCTCGACATTCATACCCATGATAACCGCCTGGGTCTCAGCTTGAGTCCCCAGGATCTCGAAGTAGGCCCTCATGGAGCCGATCCAGGACTCGATGTCTTCCTTGCCATCGTACTTGGACGGTATTTGAACCGCCTTCCGGTCCACATAGGGACTGGCGTGGCTGGGACCAACAGCAGCTGGTTCCGGTCTTGGGGCTGCAGCAATTGCATAAGTTCCAGCCTCATTGCTTGTTACAGCAACAGTGGAATTTGCACCTGCTGCAGGTCCTGAAGGACTTGCCATCACACTCGAAGATGAGGTAGAAGAAGACACAGTAAGAGGGGCAGAGGTAATTTCGATTGCAACTTCAGTTCCAGGAGGTAGAGGAAGACAGTTGGCCACTTGGGCTTGTCGCACATCCGCCACCTTCTTTGTTAGTTCATGGCACTTGAGGGTCATCTCAGTCAGATCATCCTGAAGTGTCTGCAGTTTTGCAAAGACTTCAGCGATTTGAGTGGTATGGTCCTCAAGATTCCTGATTTGAACAAAGGCTGTGAGGATGGACTGCAGTTGTTCCCTGCACTACTCTTCAGTCAGTGAGGGAACAGTCTCTAGGAGGGCTACTTGCCTTCTCAGCAAGGCCTCCTTCCTCTCCTTCTCTGACTCCTGTTCCCGTTTTATAGCACCATCCAAGAGTGCTTGCAGATGTGGTTTTTCAGCATCACCGACTGCATCTAACAAGGCCCGCCATTGCGTCGAATTTAGCTGGGCCATCTTTGGACTGTCAGTGTGGGCAGGTGGATCAGAGAGTCGCCAGACAGCAAAATAATCAATCAGACTCTCAAGAGGTTCACTCCCCCCCGCGCTTAGACGAACACTCCTTTTCCCAGTCCTTGCCCACCTCAGACTATCACTTTCCCTCTCTCCCTGTTCTCTCTCCCTCCTCTCTCTTTCTTCTTTCTGATTGCGAGTCTCTACGGGCATCGGAAATGAACTCAGAAAAACAGATAAAGCTCAGGGAAAAGAAGGTAGAACTCCTAGCCGGAGCGGTATTTCATTTGGAAGCAGAGAACAGCAGAAGAAACAATTAACTCAAAGAGAGGTCTGATCCAGCGACCCAGTCTGATCAGGCTGCATACGAGGTCCTCTCGAGTCCAGCCTGACCAGCTCCGTGTCCATACAGCAAATCAGACAACGAGCAACCAAATGCAACAATGAAGAATTGAGTGGTGTACAGGGTGCGAGTCAAGCCACGGACGGTGCAATCAGAATGCAAGCAAAACATCAAAGCCAAGATCCCCTCGGCAGTGGGTGTCCTAATCCAAGGAGAATGAACTCGTATCCTAGCCAAGAAGACAATAGGTCAATGCCTAACCGATTTGGGTCCAGAGGCTCTCCTTGTTTGGGCCCGGTTCCACTGAGTCCCAAGGGTCCCATGTAGGTCTCAACCAGGTCCCAACCAAGAGGAGTCCCACCTGAACTTAGTTCAGTCTCAACTACACTGAAAAACGAAATTTCAACTTCTGGCAGAACCTACAGACTCCAACCGTTCAGTGATGAAAAGACAAAGCACTGTAGAAAGACTCGGCATGTATAACAAGGTACTTCATTTTCCATCCATCAGGTGAGTAGGTAGATCACATGCATCCAGTCACACAATCAAGACCACAGAGGAGTAGGAAAAGAAACCCAGAGTACCCCAGCAGGACAATCAATACCATACACACATACATGGACATCCCTTAGGTGCACGGCCCTTACCTGAGTGGCCTTGAGCTTTGAGATGAAGTGAACTCACCCCCCTTCTCATATGGTCCTCCTGACCCATCTAACGCTACCCCTACACTAGTGTCCTATCTCCTAGGAGGGTCTGACTCCAACACCCAAGTGCAACGTCGGATCCCCCGTTGATGTTGAAGAACAAAATAGCAACTTGCAGTCCGTTGATGGAGAATGGTCGCTGACCCTCAAGCTCGCCTACTTGAGGGCAGCCCTTAAGTTGCCAAGTGTCTCCCTTGAATCAGATTCCAGGTGCGAGTGCCTCTCACTGTCGCCTCTCTCAAATCGCCGCATGAAGTCTCCTCGAAATGTCTCGCCACCCTAATCTCACACTCAAGCAACCTGGTTAGGGTCTATGTTGACCCCACATGACCTAACCAGGTGGGGGCAGCTTCCCTTAGCCACGCTGCCCCACTTCCCTCAACCATCCAACCCTAACCCTAAGTGTTTCCCTCAACCACTTAGGTTAGGGTTAGGGTAGCAAAGTCAACTCTCACCAGCAAGTAGAATCCGCTCTGATACCAATGTTATGACCCTGGCCAATTTCGAGATACACATGCACTGGAAAGTACAATGCCATCCAATTGCAGAAAGAAATGAATGAACTTGAGAGGTGAGAGAGGAGTAGAAGAAGAAGAAGAAGTAAGAAAGAAGAAGAAGAAGATGTACACCAGCAAAGACAATGACAAGGCCCTTCTTCTTCGCCCAACAATCTCCTCCTCCTTATCTCCCCCTTCTCTTATTCATACAAGAAATAATAATACAATGTTGAATGACTGGTCCAGAATCATGTCCGAGTCCCTTTTCTACTGCAGGTATCACTCAAGGTCTACCATAGCCATGGCTGCCTCCCCCACTCTTACACACATAGGCCGAGGCTATGGCGGACTACTAGGCCTTGCACCGACGTCCAAAGGACAACCCAGAGCAGCTATGGCTGCTCCAGCTCAGGCCGCCATGCCCAGCCTTGCCTTGAAGCTTCTTGGTGTAGCTCCCCGGGCTGGGGGCTCCTTGCAGCAGCGCCCACCAAGGTGATGAAGATGGCTGCCACCATAACCAGGTAAGTACCCCTGGCGCTCCTCCCCTTTCCTCCTTCCTTCCTCCTTCTTCCTCCCTCTAGTCCTTCTTCTTCCTCCCCAGCAGCGCAGCTCCAACCCAGCGCTGCTCCCTCCAGCGCTCCACCAGTG